CAGAGAGAGAGAGAGAGAGAGAGAGAGAGAGAGAGAGAGAGAGAGAGAGAGAGAGAGAGAGAGAGAGAATCTGCGCTCGGAGGAATGTGGACACACTAGGGGAGAGGTGCCGATAATCCCCTACTTGCGATAAAGACGTCCAGATTCGTAACGAGTCCAGCGTGGAACAACTTCCTTTCTACCAGCCCAGTACCTGAGTACGGTTCCGGGCCCTGTTGGTGGGTCTCTGGCCTCCGGCCTGAGTACCTAAGGCCAGAGGCCGACAGGTCCTTCGCTGTGAAACTAGGCAAACCACTGGGACCCATTTTTGCTTGGAAACTACTAGAATCCAGTGGGAGCGTTACTGGGTTCTAGTAGTTTCGAAGCAGAACACTGGAACCCTTTTTTTAAAAAAATTTAAACATCTTCAGGGCCTATTCCTCTGCCTCCTGGGTGTAAGGGCCCCAGGGGATAGAGGTTGGCATCTTTGATGGCTCCAATCTATTAGTGGGGAGCTGCACCAGCTGGAAACCGTGTCCAGCGTCACTTACATTCTCTGAAAGAACGGCTTCAAATGAGGTCGTCATTCCACCTATCCCATCATTCCGAAAGAACTGAGACCCTGACTGGACCTCTTCACCTTATCGGCGCCATGATTGAGTTTTTCCTAGTTCGTACCTGTCAGGAGACTAAGACCTCGTTAGACACTCCTTGGGGACGTGACATAAGGGCATGCTCGTTCCACCTGTCCTGGGGACGAAATTGAAAAAGAAATGTGAAAACGCCACAACGAAAATTCCTTGTGGCATCCTTGTGACCCCAGCCATTTCTTCCTTGTGCCCAAGGGACCTTGGGCACAAGGAATCCGCATTTCACGGAGAGGAGAGGGCACACGGGTAGATAGACGTTACAGCTGAGAATCTGGATCGTGGCGGCACCCTGTTGGCTGAAGGCTTGAAGCACAACTGCGTTTTTTTTTTCTTTTTCTTTTTTTTTCTGACATCAGGCTTAGGAAATGTCGCCGGGCGACGTCATCAAGGACAGGTGGAACGAAGAGCCCAAATTCCCTTACGAGCCACAAGGGAAATTCCTTGTGGCGCAAGGAACTCGTAAGGAGTGTCTACCGAGGCCCTATTTCATTCTCAGACACGTTGTCAGCTCGTCCATGATGTTGAGTAAGGATATGAGAATAGAGACTGAAAAACAAAACATCCAGGGAGCAGATATGAATCTGGAGGATAGGCAACATGGTCCTGGAGCTGTGCTACCGGGAGCACCCACTACTTATACTCACGGTGGTCTGGGCCCCATCAACCATGGCTCCAAGACAATACCTGCGGGCTTGACTTTCAAGAATCTCACACTCTGTCCCCAAGTGTGAAAGAACCGATCCCTTGCTGCACGAGACTCAGACTAGACAACATTCTTACTGCAGAACTTCGAAAAGCAATATTTGTCATTTTTCTGCAGGTGCTAGCGGTGGCTGCTCTTATCAGCACCACTAGCACGGGAAAAAAAAAAAAAAAAACCTGCGGTATACTTTGAATTATGTGTAAACCGTCGTTCCCCTCCGAATCCTCGTATAAATAAAATATGAGGGTGCGTCGTGTTCCAGGGAAGATGGTAACTCTTTTTCTTTTTTTTTTGTAACTCCTGTTGTCAAGTGAGTACTATAGTTATGGAGTGATCCTGTGTGCACTAAAAAAAGACCATCAATCTACTGCCTTCCCCCGAGCAGAACGCACCCTGATTAATACTGAGTCAGACTATGAGAGTTTACAAACCATCTTTCCAGTCCGATACTGTCAGGACGAGGGTGCGTTGTGTTCGGGGTAAGACGGTAGTAGCATGTGTTATCCAGTGCCAGGACGGTGGCCCCTGCCACATAGCTGCCATCCAGCTAGAGGGTGGGTTGTGTTCGGGGGAATCCTATGGGCAACACTAGAATCGTGGCTGCTGCGGTGAAAGACCATCCCTTCCATCACTTCCTCAGGATGGCTTTTCTAGATCTACAACAAGTAGATCTAAAAACAAGACAAAATCATCAAAATGGCTTTTCTAGCTCAGTAGGTTGCATGCTTCAGATGATGCCTGACATTACGTAGGTGCCGAATTCTTGCTTTTTTTTTTTTTTTTTTTTTTTTTTTTTTTTTTTTTTTTAATGATCCCATTACAATTATCACTTTCAGTGGCTGGTAGCTCGCTGGGATGAGATGTGTTGGACTTGTGCCGCCCTGGTACCCAGCTGACACAACTCATCCCAGCGACCGGTCGTACCACCCCACCCAATACATCTGGGAGCATCAGGTCAATGACAGGTGTAACTGGCTGCTCAGGTCCTGCTGCGACCGGTCGTACTACCCCACCCAATACAACAATTCTCTGGGTCCAATACAACAATTCTCTGGGTGCATCCTTAATTAGAATCACTCACCGGAGCTGACATGCATGGCTCTATTACCATCATGCCTATCAGGGTTTGAGACCCTCAATTTCACTATACTTACACTTCCATCATGCCTATCAGGGTTTGAGACCCTCAATTTCACTATACTTTCAACTGCGCCAGCAGAGAAGAGTGGGCCTAAGTAGATTTGAACTACTGACTTTACACTTATCAGGCCTATTCTGCATCAGGTCAGGTGCAAGTGGCTCCTCAGGTCCTGCTCCGACCTGTCGTGACACCCCCAATAAAAGCCTTCTCCGGGTGAATTGAATTCTCATTAAGAATCACCGGAGCTCACATGTCGGTACACCGTACACCCCACCCAATACAACACTTCTCACTCAGCCTGAGGGTGAATTCTCATTCAGAATCACTGTAGCAGCGTAGCTCCGTAGCAGTGTAGCTGACATGCATGGCAGCTCTATTACGATGCCTATTAGGGGGTCGACTCGGTTGAGATCCTCAATTTCAGGATACTTCAACTCTTCGGTTGAAGTCTTGGACTCAAAGGTATTACTGCCCATTGCCCAACCAACCAGTTACCAGTATTATTCAATTTGAAAATTACAAGAAAGAGTACTACATGATACTATATGATAGTACCTGTCATAACAGAAGCTGGATAACGAATAATCAGGAAAAAAAAAAAAGGACATACAAATGATACAATCTACACAATAACTTCTTCTCCCTGCCAGTGGGTTTTCTGTTTTATATATATATTATATATATACATATATATATGGTTTTATTTTAAATATATAGATCGTCACAAACAGAACTGCCCGGTAAACCGTAGGCAGAGAGAGAGAAAAGGACAACAAACGAGGGGCTGTGACAAACTGTTTCGTCGGAGTTTCATATATATCTACATATATATATATATAGTTGTACTCATTAATCATCTGGATTCGAACTCAGGTCTGTATTTCAACACTTCATGGGTGTAACAATTAAGCTAGGCTCTTGGGTGGGTGGGTTTTCGTTTTCATTTCACTCTAACACTTACCTTTCCGCCTCAGAGTCTGCTTTTTGAGTTTTTGCCCTCCTCTGTTTTTATAGTTCTTTCCCCTCTCTTAACTTGTTGACGGCATACACCGTCACTAAGGGCCTCCCAAGGCCACTGTGGAAGAGTAAAGAGTACAACTGTACAAGTGCATTTTCCAATGCCAGTGCCAACTTGAAGATGCATTCGGTATGCCAGACTACCAGTATCTATAGCAACGGCTGCATCTTGCGGACCCTTGCCATCTACAGAAGAAGCTGCACTGGTGATTCTTTTCGTTCCAGCGGTAGTGTCGTGCAGGCGGCGCAGCCCTACATCATGATCACATTCATATGACATTGTAATTTGTAATGAATGATGACATCGTTTCAGTTTTGAGAAAAAACTCCAAAAAAATTTCAGTTTTGAAAGAAAAAAGAAAGGAGACATACGTACCTGGCAGAAGACGGCGAAGCGAAGCGGGTTGTCGGGATACTCCACTCCGACGGTCTGACCATAGATCTTCTGCCCCGTCACTCCCCATACCTGTCCCCCACAAGGAGGGATCCCATCAAGATCAGACAGATCAGATCATACAGGCATACATACAGAATTGTCAAACGCTTCGCTTGGCAGTCTGCCAGTGGGTTACCGTTAAAGTTCGAGCCTTGAGGAGGCTTATTAGACAAACTTGGGGCCCTTTTGGGGCCTCGCTCCACTTTGTGCCAGTCTATTTTGTTTTCTTTACTAAGTGGATGTGTGGGGATGTGTTGTATTCGAGGGATGCCTGATGTGGATTTAAAAACTGAAAACGTGACTGCCCCGTACTTTCACCCCTTTTTATTTTTTTCATTTTTTTTGTTTTTTCGCTCGTAGGACCAATCTACTCAGAATACCTGGTTGCCTCTGTAGCATCACTAGCAACGGCAGGGCTGTTTTGTTTATAAACAAAAAAAAAAAAAGGAGGTCCGTGTTTGGCGAGTGCATGGGTCTAGTACCCGCTGGACCAGCTGGGCTAGGCCAGGTTTAACTCTATTACTCTTGTATTGGAGGGGGGGAAAAAAAAAAAAAAAAAAAAAAGGCATAGGTGTAGATATTATGCAGCCTGCAATCCCAAATGAGACCCGGTTTTTTAGGTTAGCGCCCCTTCCAATGCGAATCGCAGGGGTTGCAACTCTTTGTTCCTCCCCGCCTGCATACTAGAGCGCAATCATGCCGTTGAAGCCATTCACATTTAATTTAGGACGTTCTGTATGCATCTCACCCCGATTCCTGACCAGGGACATATCTGACGGCAATTGCATCCAGAGCTGAGTCAAAAAGGTCCTTTTGTGAGTGAGCATACCCTTAGGGGCCTTAGTCGACGGATCACTGTGCCCCTCTAGGGCCTCTACGCCAAGCGGTGTAACGGCCACTCAAGTCATTTTCTTCTTTTTTTTCCCTTTTGGTCCTTCATTCCCCTGGGGTTGTTTATGACTTTGTCTTTTTCTCCGCGCCTACGCGTGACAAGGTACACTGCAGTCTTTTTCTTTTTTTTTCTTTTTTTTGGTCCTTCATTGCCGTGGGGTT